ACTGGTCGTTCATTTTTTCAACAGTCAACTTCTGCTTTATCAATGAAAACCTCAACACCAAATGGATGGCAGTTTTGGTGGAAGAAAAATTCTTCCAGCTCAGCCACATCTTTAATATCGCAGTCCACTGGCATGAAAAATGAATCTAAATCTTCGATTTTTACCGGAACTTTGAATATCGAAAAAATGAACGACCAGTCAAAAACTTTATTATCTCGCGATACCCCAAAGTCATCTCCTTCTGCATCGGAGAGGTCAATCGAATCAAAAACTAGCGCCAAAGAAAAATTCTTCTACTACAAAAGTCTTAGGCTAAGCAGTGAACAGCTTCGACTATTAAATCTAAAGCGCGGGTCAAATACGGTCACATTTTCAACCTCCAGAGGTGCTACTTGCTCTTCAAGAATTTTTTATTGGTCTTCAGACTGCAAGATTGTGATCTCAGACGTTGATGGAACCATTACAAAGAGTGATGTTCTGGGACATTTATACACAATGGTTGGTAAGGATTGGACTCACTCTGGAGTGGCTCGTCTTTATTCTTCAATCAAATCAAATGGCTATGAAATTTTATATCTGACGTCGAGAGCAATTGGGCAGGTTCGATTTGGAATTTCTTTGATTTTATTTTATAGGCCGATTACACCCGAATTTATTTGAAAAATATTGAGCAGGAATCGTTTAGTCTCCCCGATGGCCCGGTAATCATGTCTCCTGACAGGCTATTAGCGGCCTTTCATAGAGAGGTTATTCTCAAGCGTCCAGATGAATTTAAGGTAGCCTGTCTAAAGGACATTAGAAGACTGTTTGAAAATTCTGGAAATTCTCTTCCCTTTTATGCTGGCTTTGGCAATAGGCCCACAGACGCCATATCTTATCTTTCTGTTGGAATTCCCTCGAGCAGGATTTTCATCATCAACAGCAGTGGGGAGGTCCGCCTTCAGAATTTGGGCGCTGTATATCAAAGCTCCTATTCAGAAATGGATAAGTTAGTAGGTCATTTTTTCCCCCCAATCTCAAACATTGTCAATCAAGTTCCTTCTCGAAACTCATATGCTGCCTTACTTTACGACCAATGGTCTGATTATCACTACTGGGGAAATTCTCCGATTCTTTTGGATGACAATCCTACACTTACGACAAAAACACCACCTTCCCCCATTGGATCGATAAATGAAAAACGTGTGGAAACATCCACCAGATCTCCAAAAAAAAATGAAAGGCATTTTCTATCCATCGATACCTCATCAACATCATTAGAATCTCCTTTTATCGACAAATCAATAGTCAGCTCTTCCCTCTCCCAATCTTCCCTTTTAGAATGGAACCAAAATACACAAGTAGCTGCTGGGCAAGAATCGGAAGGAGAGGAGGCTGAGGAGCATCCATATTTTTAACTTGTAAATTTCCTCCCCTCAATAAAGATACATTAAAAGTTTTGCCATCAAGAGACCACCAATGCCAAAAGGGGGCAGTATTTACATAAATTTCTATTGACGTGGGAATGTTTTAACGGCCTTTAAATTTTTGCCAAAAGCTCTTGAATAGCTAAATGTAGGGTCCCTTTTATTTTCGCAACCCAAGAAAAACGGGGAGGGTTTAAGGTGTGCAGTACAGGTTTTCTTTACCCCAAATAATATACAAAAAACCGAGATTTTCAAAAAAAAATT